ACATGAGCCCGGTGTGAGTTTAAGCCACCAAGTCTGGGACTCAAACTGTGGTCGCCTACGTGGGAGTCCAGCGACATAGCCATTACACTAACTGCTGGTCCCCAAGAATAGGATTAATTTTTACCATATATGACTCACTACTAAAAAAAAAAAAAAGAATATCAAAATAAATTTTGTTCAATTTCAGTCTACCAGCTGAAAAAAATTATAACAATTTTTAGATTTTTGAGAGGTTTTGTTTTGGGGGAGGTGGTTTTTGGTGGTTTTTTTGGGGGGGGTTTTGGTCAGAGAATTTTTAAATTATATTTTTTTCTATGTATATAAATGGAAAATAAGGTGTAAATAATAAAAATAATTTATAACCCATTGCCCAGAAATTAACATGGTTAATATTTTATTATCACTAGCTCAGGGCTTTCACTCTCACTTTCCCACATTGATTCTCTGTCTATCCCAGTACTATTTCACCCCAAACCATCCATTGTGAGGAGACCGGAAAGTTCTAGGCTGCCTGGGAGCCATCCCACACCCTCACATTCTAGTCTAGTTATTCTAGTCACTAAAGCCACCAGCATTCCAGCAGATAGAGAGGTGGTTACGGCGCTAGACTACCACATGACCAACCACAGTTTGAGTCCCAGACCTGATGGCTTGCTTTCTCATTTTCCATCTCTTCCTCTCTGTCTCTCTCTGGTCAAATTAAAAATAAGAAGAAGAACCAGTAGATGGCGAAATGGTTATGTTGTTGGACTCCCATGTAGTCGACCACAGTTTGCGTCCTGGGTCTGGCAGCTTAAACTCATACCAGGCACATGTGCGTGTGTGCCCAAGATTCTAAGAGGAGACTAGAGGAGAAAGGATTGTGGCATGGCCATCCGCCCTGTGGGGCGGTTTCTTGCTTTCTTTCTCTTTGTCCCTCCCTGGGGTTCCAGTGAGCACACCTGCCCTATAGCAAAAACCTCCCTTCATAAAAATAATAATAATAATAATTGATGAGCCTTAATAAGAGGAAAAAGATACTCAAAAACCTGGAATACTGACTGTGACATCTTTGAGAAGATGTACAGGGAGCTGGAGTCAAGAACACCTTCCGCCTGCTGTATCACAGAAGATTCCATTGCTGCTTCATGACCAAGAAAGTCTGTGCTCTTGGGTTTTCCAGGAGGTTCAAAAGATGAAAAAGCAGGACCAGCAGGTGGCATGGTGGTTAAGGCACTGGACCTGGTGGCTTGCTTTCTCGCTTTCTCTCTCTATCTCTCTCTGTCTCTCTCTGGTCAAATTAAAATAAATAAAATTAAAAATAAATAATTCTTTAAAAAGCTGAAGAAATAACAAAGGGCATTAAAAGCTACAGCTGTAGCAGCCCCAAAGCAAGACTAGAGGAATCCAGAGAGCTCTTCCAAAGCCCAACCACAGCACTCGAAACCAGTAAATTCTGTTGAAATGTTAAAAATAAATAAATAAATAAATGAAAATGATGATAATAAGTTAAAAAAATTTTTTAAAAGCCATCAGCATCATTTTGGGAGACAGTCTTAGGACTAGCCTGGACATGTCCCTTGCATGTACCACTGTTCAAGACTTGTTTTAATCTCCCTTCCACTTAAAAAGGGAAGAGCTTACTGGTTTTCCTTTACTAACCAGCAACTGAACTGAAACCTGACTATTCTAAAAGTGCTGAGCACTTTGTTCAGCTTAAGCAACAATCTCTCAGAGCTGGATTTTCCACTCCATGGCCCTGCCCCCAGCTTTCTAAGCAGTTCTGGGAAAAGGTGCTGCCTGTTGTTATTCTTGTAGAAATTTATACTCCTGAGTCTCTCCAGATGGAGCCTTCAAGGCCTTAACATCAATATTATAAAATGTAAAAATTCAGATAAAAGTAAATGTTACCAAAGAGATATTCCTTTGCATGCTTATCCATGGTGGATGTGGGGGTCACTAGTTTTGTTTCACTATTTTCCAGATCTCTTGCCTTTGTGCACATGGTAGATGTGTGCTTCCCTGCAAATGTAGTTAGGTGTGGCCATATAACTTGCTTTGGTCAACTAAATGTAAGCACAGATAATGTGTTTCATTTCTGGGAAAATGTAAGAGCCAGCCTGCGCTTTGCCACATTTTCTCTGTTCATCTGGCATGGAGATTGGCAACATTCAAGGTAATAATCACCACATTAGCCTCAGTGTCTGAGTAACTAAAATCAACAGACTTCACCCCAGTTACCCCCAATGGACACAAAACATGAACAAGAATAGACCTTTGTTCATTGAGATTTAGGAGTTGTTGCTACATCATAGCCTAGTTTATCCTGACTGATGTGACAGGGAAAAAACTAGAGCTTACTCTTAATAGACTATATGTTGCCATTTAGAAATTAACTCAAGTACCAACAACTAATAAATGAATTTAAAATGTAGTATATTAACAAAATGGAATAACACTCAGCCATAAAAAAGGATGAATTCTTGTCATTTGAGGCAAAATAGATGATTCCGGAGGAAATAAATGGCAGATGAAATGTCCAAAGCTCTGGAAGACAAATACTGTATGTCCTCACTCATTAACAGGAGCTAAAAGATGTGATTGCATACAAGTAGTGAGTATAATGGTGGATCCCAGAAGCTGAAAAAGGGAGGCAGTAGGAGGATAAGGAGGACTTGGTTAACAGGTATAACAATGCATGTAAATAAGTGAAAAGAGTTATGAAATACGATAGCACAGCAGAGTAAAGAACATTGGTGACAATTCAATATATTTTTCAAAGTAACCAGAAAAACAGATTTCAAATGTATACAACAAAGAATAATGATAAATATGAAGATGGTGGATATACTTATTTTCCCAATTTGATCACTATGTATTATATACAGGCTTTGAACACTGTACTTCACAAAGATGCACAATATTTATAACACCTGTTGGGTTGTTGGAAAAGTCATAATGTATAGTACAACATGACTTTTCTGACAACCCAGTATTATAGGTACAGTACAAATTACAATGAAAATTATTATAAAAAATAGATCACCATTTAAAATTCTATTTCTGAGAAATAATAATGTAGGTTTTTACTTTTTAAAAAATTATTATTTAACTTTATTTATTTTTTAATCTGACCAGAGAAGGACAGAACAAGCGAGTAGGAGAGAGAAAGTGAGAAAGCAAGTCGCTAGGTCCGAGACTCAAACTTCAGTTGGCCATGTGGGAGTCCAGCATCCTTAACCACCATACCACTTGCCAGCCCTAGGAAATACTTTCTATATCATAAAAAGTAGAAAAAAATTAGATATAAAAATATACTTACCCTAACATTCATGTTGTGGTAAGAGTGTTTTTAGGCTGGCTCTGTGGTCTAGCAGTTAAGGCAGCCAGGTCTCATATGGCCAGCCATGTGGTTCAAGTCCCAGACCCAGTGACTTGAAAAATATGTTGCACAAATATACATGCATGCACAAAATTCTGAAAGGATAGAGAGGTGGAGGAAAAGGGACTGAGGTGTGACCATTGTCCATGAGGGGTGCTTTCTCCTCTCCCTGCCTCTCTCTCATAAAACACACATGCCTGCTGGGGGGGAGGGGGAGTTTTTGATATATTTACCACATCCTGTTCCTCTTAAAATTTTAAAAGAAAGAAAGAAAAACATGGAAATACTCAGAATTATTGTCTTTGAGTTATGAAACCTTGTACTGTTTTCTACTTTGTTTCCTAAATTTACTTTGTACCTTAGTACATTTTTAAGTACCTCAAAGTACTTTAAGTACCTCAAAGTATTTTTTTGTAGTGCCCTGGGCTGCCTGTTAGATGAAGAACAATGCTTTCTGAATCCTTTTTAACCACTCCCACTCACCTCTCTGTATCCCAATAGTTAAATGCATTTATTACTTAGGGACTCTTCATTGGGTCCTTTTCAACTTTAGGAAGGCCAATGCTATACCTTCTTCCTATCACAGCCAAGTTAAAAGAGATGTATATACTCTGTGAATGTTAGAGATGAGGTGACATGTATAAGATCATCCCATAACTTAGTGGTAGAACTGGAGCTAACTCATGCCTACCGAGTCCTTGTCTGTGGTGCTGCCCTTTCAATTTGTGGAAATCATTCCTTCTTTCTTGGAAGTTAACCTTCCTTGTGGGGAGAATGAGTTTGCAGGAACTAAAAGAAAATTGTACATAATTGGGAACTGAAAAAAAATTTTTAGAGGTTTTTACTATAGGGCGCGTGCGCTTGCCAGAAAGACAGAGAGAGGCAGAGAGACAGAAAGTGAGAAATCACCCCTCAGGAGGTATAGCCATGCTGCAGTCCCTTCTCCTCCATTCTCCTCTCGGGATCTTGGGCACCACGCACATGCGCTCAGCGTGACTTTAAGCCACCGGGTCCAGAACTCAGAACAGCAGTCAACTGCATGGGAGTCCAGCAACATAGCCATTACACCAACTGCTGGTCCTGGAACTGAAAGATTTTGAATAGAAGAACTCCATGAAATGTATCACTGAGCTCTCCGTGTGCCATAGAACAGAGGAGAAATGACTCGCAATAAGTATGAAGAGAGAGGCTGAAGACGTGGACTAGGACAGGGGTAGAAAGGGTAGAAAGAAAGATTTTGAACCATGTGGTCTCCAGACAGGTGAGCTTTTCCCCTTTGCTTTCTAGTTTCTCATTCCAGTCTATTTTTGAGAGATTATATATTTTCCAATCACATGTATCCCACCCCCCCTCCCCCAACTGGGGCTAGATGATTGTGTATTGGTAAATCATAGTGCTCTGTGAGGCTGACCCACATGAGAGAGTTCTGGGTTCATGTCCAAAGACTTCTCTGAATATACCAGTTACATGCAGACTTTTGACCTGGAGCTGATAGAAGCAGGGGGTGAGTCATGGCATCAAGACCTTGTTAGGAGTGCTATCTCTTTCTCTTTCACTCTCTATATCTCTCTTAATCATGAAACAAATAAATACACTTTTTTAAAGTGATATTTTTCCTTCTTGTGAACCTTTCTCCTAGATCTGAACCTGTGGTCTCAGGAGCCGGGGTGACCTAATGGAACATTCACTGAGGCTTTTGGACTCTGAACAAGGATCCACTGGTCTGCAGAGCTTTCCATTTGCACTTTCTAAATGCCTTTGGATGATCCAGCACTGTAATCTGCAGCCTACAAGACTGGGCAGTACCTGGTGTGCTTTATGGAAGTCAAGTGGCCCACTCTCACTGCTCTGGGCTCTCACTGCTCACTGCTCTCTGCAGCTGAGCAAGCACTACTATACTTTAGAAACTGATCCTATAGGAACTTGGACCCAGTGAGGTGTCTTGAGGCTCTTCCCATCTACCAGAATGAAAGCAAAGAGCATTCCTTTCCCCTAAGTTTCCAAAGTGATTTCCAGAAGCAGAGAAGTGAGGAACTCTGTGGTTGCAGAAACAGACAGAATGCCAGTAGGGCACAGGTCTAGAAAACAAGTTTATAAAAATTATGCCAGAGCATTAGAAGCAACCAGAGTAAAAATAAGTGAAGAATTCAAAAATAATAAAAGTCAGACTTCACCTAAGAAAACAGACGAGCTTATGAAAATAGATTCTAATGTTGAATACCTTATACAACACAGAATACTGATGTTGAGTGCCTTATACAACACACAGACCACGATACACTGGAACTGGTCCCTAAAAAAAGACCTTCTTATAGAAAATGTGTCATATTCCGGTAGACGAATGGAAGATAATTGAAAACCCAGAAATAAACCCCAAACATATAGCCAACTGATTTTTTTTTTGAGAGGTTTTTGCTATAGGGCGCGTGCGCTCACCAGACAGACAAAGAGAGACAGAGAGACAGTAAGTGAGAAATCATCCCCCGGGGGGATGGCCACACTGCAATCCCTTATCCTCCATTCTCCTCTTGGGATCTTGGGCACGCACGCACATGTGCCCGGCGTGAGTTTAAGCCACCGGGTCCGGGACTCGAACTGCGGTCGACTACGTGGGAGTCCAGCGACATAGCCATTACGCTAACTGCTGGTCCCAGCCAACTGATTTTTGACAAAAGGCGCAAGGCAATCCAGTGGGGAAAAGAAAAATCTCTTCAGCTGAAAAAAACAAATTTCCACCTGCAGAAAAGTGAAACTGGACCCTTATCTCTCACTATTAACAAAAATCAATTCAAAATGGATCAAGGATCTAAACATAAAACCTCAAACTATAAAACCACTAGTGGAAAATGCAGGGGAAACTCTTGGAGACATTGGAGTAGGCAAAGACTTTCAAAATAAAACTACCAAAGCACAGGCAATAATCCCAAAAATAGACAGGTGGAACTACATCAGGCTAAAACGCTATGCAGCAAAAGAAACAATAATTAGGGTGAAGAGACAACCCTCAGAATGGCAAATTATGCCTTAGGAAGGGGACTGATAACCAGAATATATAGGAAATCCAAGCAGCTTACCTGCAAAATAAATAAATAAATAAATAAAAATAACCCAATTAAAAGATGGGCAAATGAGTAGAATAGACAAGTCTCCAACGAAATCATACAAACAGCCCAAAAGCATATATATAAAAAAAATACTTGACATCTCTTATCATAAGGGAAATGCAAGTCAAAACCACAGTGAGATACCATTTAACCCCAGACAGAATGAATAAGATTAAAAAAATAAAGAATGATAAATGCAGGTGAGGCTGTGGTGAAAGGGGAACCCTCCTACACTGTTGTTGGGAATGTAAGCTGGTACAACCATTGTGAAAAACAATATGGAGTTTCATAAAAAATAAATAAGTAAAAACTACAAATAGAATTATCATATGGCACAGTAATTCCACTGTTAAGTATCTACCCAAAAGATAGGAAAACCCTCAGTTGGAAAAACACTTGCATATTGCAGCATTAGTCACAATTGCTAGGACATGAATCAACCCAAATGCCCAAGTACAGATGAGTGGATTGAAAAAAATGTGGCATAGCTACACTATGGAATACTGCTTAGCCATAAAAGACAATGAGTCCCTGACATTTGATATAAAGTGGACGAGCATGGAAGATTTAATGCTAAGCGAAGTAAGCCAGTCTATGAAAGACAGACATTTTATGTTCCTGCTTAATACATACCAAATGTTTGCATTCTACAGCAGAAAATGAAAAACTGGAGGGTATAATAGCAGGAAGGCCAACTGTAGATACTAGAGACAGTAGAGAAGGGGGTAGGTAATAGGGAGGGAATCGGGGGAAAAAACAACATTTAATAGACACAAAAACAAAAAGTTACCTGCCTATGATAATGTATATGGTAATGTCTTTGACTTGACTAATATGTGCTGTATTCATACTGGGAGAAAACATACTATACACTGAAAAGATGTATAGTGATTAAATGTAAATTAGAGAATTTTTTAAAAAGAAAATGTGCCACATTGTGATGTTCTAACACAGAAGCAGTGACTTTTCTAGGGTACGACAAGTGGTTTTATTATTTAACATACATAACTCTGGCAAACATCCTGAAAAGGCAGATATTTTTCTCGAAACTGCATGTTGAAAATGAATGAGTTAAAGAATAGCTTTGTAACTAATTTTTATATTAAACAGATATTGCTGAGAACTGCAGAAAGCAGGTATTTTTAATGGCTACTATATAAGAAGATATTTCATTTTCATTGAAAATCAAATTTTATAAAGTGAAATATTGGGTTGCCAGAAAAGTCATGATGCATTTTTGATAGAAAAACATGGAAAAATATGTTTTGATTTTTCTGACAACTCAGTAAATGCTTAAGGAATATCGTGTTCACTTCTCTTTGACTTTGATGAAATTTTGGTCTTACTATGTCTATTTGACAAGTTGGTGAGTTTCCCCCCATGTGAAATGCTATTTTAAATTTAGATTATTAGACTAAATTGATATTTAGTCCAAAAATATTAAATTATTCCAAAAAACACAGGGTGTGCCAGCTTTCCAACAAGAAGTGGACTTTGTTTCCTAAGGAAATAACAACTTTGTGTAGCTAACAAATAGTTGTGAGAGATACAGATAGAGAGTACTCTGTGTTATAATAGAGACATTTTTTATTAGTCTTCTGGTGATAGACGAATAAAACATCAAAATTACCTGGAATCACTATGGAATAAAGAAATTCTAACTTTTTAAGGAACTAGTGCTCTTTGACTAAGCTGTATAATATGATTTTAGTAGACTTGTCTATATTTAGATCACAGTTGGACTTTGTGAAAATGTAGTATACATCTGCACTCTTTATTTTAATCAATAAAATGTAAATAGCTAGTTTCTCTTCTGCCATGTGTCCATTCGTGACAAGACTGACAGTATCACAAAAGGGCATGCATGCTATTATCTAAGGCTAGGTGCTATAAAAGTGTTTTTTAATATTCTTGCTTTTTTATTATCTGAGCATCGTATATTCTGCTTTCCAAGTAAAGTTTGTTATCTCCCATTCACTGACGAATTTTCACATTCAATAATGATACCAGGTGTTTAATTTTTACAAGATTTTTCACTGCAAGCTTTGTTTGTTCCTATATCCTTATTGAATATAAAATGTCATATTTTAAAATAATTTTAGTTTTAGGAAATCCAAAAATATCAACACCATTTAGACTTAATAGTAATCAGAGACTACCCTCAGTACTTCCCAGTATTTTTGAGATCAATTAATAGTCTATGTAATAAATTATATATGTCAGAAGATTCACTACAGGGGTTAGTAAGTGGCATGGAGGTTAAGACAGATGGATCCCACATGGTCAACGGTGTGGTTCAACTCTTGGACCCAGCAATTTTAAAAATACACCAGGCCCAGTATCACCAGTTGATGTAATGGCTATGTCACTGGACTCCCGTGTAGTAGACTACAGTTCAAGTCCTGGACCCAGTGGCTTAAACTCATGCCAGGTACATGTGCATGCATGCCCAAGATCCTGAGAGGAGAATGAAGGAGAAAGGATTGTGGCATGGCCATCCCCCCTGGGTGATTTCTTGCTTTCTGTCTCTCTGTCTCTCTCTGTCTTTCTGGCAAGGGCATGCACCCTGTAGCAACCCCCCCCCAAAAAAAAAAAACCCACAAAAAACACCAAGCCCCTGTGTGCATGCACATTGCTCCAAATCCCAAGCAGAGCATGGAGGAGAAGGGATTGCTGGGGGTGATTTCTCACTTTCCACCTCTCTCTCTCCTCTCTCCCTTTCCCTCCCTCCTGTGAAGTACATGACCTATAGAAAAAACTAAAAAACAAAATTCACTACATAATTTTTCATCTCTATACATATATTTCTTATATATTTTAAAAGTACGTCTATGTCTAGAGAAAAATTAAAGTTGTTTCAAATTTGAAATTTACCTTTATAAGAGAATGCTCATGGTTGTCATAGCATAATCACCATATGAATATTCTATTATTTTGGTATATTATATAAGGAGTCTTCAAAAAGTTCATGGAAAGTGCATATCAGGAAAAAAGTATGCATTTCAATTTCTTGCATCAAAATAAAGTCATACTTCTGGGAACCAGCAGTTAGCGTAATGGCTATGTCGCTGGACTCCCACGTAGTCGACCGCAGTTCACGTCCTGGACCCGGTGGCTTAAAACTCACGCCGGGCGCATGTGCATGCATGCCCAAGATCCCGAGAGGAGAATGAAGAAGAAGGGATTGCGGAGTGACCATCCCCCTTGGGGGGTGATTTCTTGCTTTCTGTCTCTATGTCTCTCTCTGTCTGTCTGGCGAGCATACACGCCCTATAGTGAAAACTTCTCTAAATAAATAAATAAATAAAAATAAAGTCATACTTCTGTAAGAGTGGAGCCTCTTGGCAATCTGGACCAGGGTCTCCCACCTACGCTGCCACGGTGCATTGTGCAGCAGGAGTATGGCGGGGCAAGGCTGTGGACCAGTCCTGCTCCCAGTGATAATGAACAAGGCAATGTTGTGCCTAGTATAAGCTGTCAGCCAAGGGGGATGAAGCTTCTACTGTGCATCGCACTGCTCTCCTACATCACCCCTATTTGGGTCAACCTTGTTAATATGAGGTCTATCCAGGAAAAGGGTAAACTGAGAATTGAATGTAAGATTGAAGAGATTGTTGGACCACTAAGAGGAAAAAATCAGAGATTTGGAAAGTATCAGAGATTTGAAAAAAAGCTTCCCCCAGAAATACCCACCAGTAAAGTTTTATCAGAAAAGGATCATAAAATAACATTGAGAGAACCAGCAGTTAGCGTAATGGCTATGTTGCTGGACTCCTACATAGTCGACCGTGGTTCGCGTCCCGGACCCAGTGGCTTAAACTCACGCCCGGTGCATGTGCTTACGTGCCCAAGATCCTGAGGAGAATGGAGGAGAAGGGATTGCGGCGTGACCATCCCCTGTGGGGGGTGATTTCTCGCTTTCTGTCTCTAATGTCTCTCTCTGTCTGTCTGATGAGCGCATGCACCTTATAGTGAAAAAAATCTCTCCAAAATAAATAAATAAATAAATAAAATAAAATAACATTGATAACTGGAAGCCCGAGGCTGTGGGCTTCCACCTGACTGACAAACTCAAGATGGATGACAGTGAGTTGACAGTGGTGAACAACATCTTTACTGGCAGGGAGAGAAATAAGGAGCACTGGATTGGCCACAGGAACTTTGAGCTGATCAACCATGATGTGGTAGAGCCCCTCTACAATGAGGTTGACCAGCTACCATTTGGAGTCTCCAGCCTTCCTTTCAAACTACATGTATAATTCTATCCAGACGCTGAAGACCAATACTATTGGGACATTAAACATTTT